GATGGATTTTTTATTAGGAGCTTATGGGAGAATCAATGTCTCAAATATCAGCCCCTATAATTATGGCTCCCTCAATTTCACAACTCACAAAACAGTAGCCTACAATAAGGAAAACTAGTTCCTCAAACTTGATAGCCACTCAAAAACATACACAGAAAAGAGACACCTTAATAGAACAGAGGAAATAACTAGACATTTTGCCAGAAAAGGCCATGAGCACCAACTAATCTCAGGAGCTAGTTAGGGCACCAGTCTGTATTGGAGATCTGTGCCTTCTGTACTAGCTACTCTGCATTGCAACATCCCAGAGCCAATCGGCAGATGGAGAAGGCAGAAACTCAGTGCACAGCATTTCACTATGAGGGAAGAGAGTATGAGTGAGGACCAGAGAGCAATGGTCCTTATTGGTGTAGAAGGCTATTTGGAGGCCATATTGAAGAATGAAGCTGTTCCTACTTCTGTTACTCTTCCTAAGCATCTGCTCTCCTGTCGTTTGGTGTGTCCCCTCTACCCCACTCTTAGATGCTACACTGCCCAGTCCTGATTTCAGATAAATTCATCTCTTGTCTCCAAGTTCTGGCTAACTACATAAGAAGACTAAGATTGAGGAAAAACTGAATTTTGTGTTTTCAATTTTCAATGTATTTTGTACACATAAATTTAAAACTTTTAAAAATGTCACAAAACAATCTTCTTCCCTTCACCCCTTGTTCTCCCTGACTCTCTCCCCCACCTCCTTCCTCCCTAGCTCACCATACCCACTTCAGTCTTACTTTACCAGCTTTCTAGCTTACTACACACATGATTCTCTCTGACATGTAACTGAATTAAGAGCAAGAATGTATATTTTAATTTTTTAATGATTTATAACCTGTCTAATTTCAGAAAACATTTGAGGTGGCAAGAATAAATAAATAGCAGTGGGAGATACATGGATATTTTTACTCTGTATTGGATGCATATTCTTTTAGGCTGCATACATTTCTATAACTCTGACAAAGATCATACTGGTATGACCTTTTGTTGAGGGTAGAATTCATAGAATTGCGGGAAGTAGAGAAGGAATTCATCATTATTTATAACACCACCAATGACACATATGAATGATTTTAGTTACTGCCCAACTGGTGTCATGGATCTACTAATTATATTGTGTGTTTATCTAAAAGTGTTTTTTTCTGCTCTGGAGGAATAAGAGACAGGAATTTTAGAGAGGATAGATTGTGGATTGCTGTATGAGTTTGGGCAAATCAGTGGTCACTCAGTTCTAGATTCTATGTTAAAAACAATAATGAATCAATTATCGGTTCCCTGTAAGAGCCAATGATGTGATGTACTTGGAAGAGCTTTAGTGCACAGAAGCCACTATGGCTGTACAGTGAGTGTGGGTGAATGTTTTCTTTACTTCAGTCTCTGCTTCATCCAGGAGGAGACCAGGGCCTCACTCTCCGGGACGCTCTAGCAGAAGTGCCTCTTTGTGTTTGGGCTTTATTTATTGAATGCATTTGAATGAGCGATCGTTCTAAGAGCAGAGAGTCATTCAATTTGATTTCACAATGGGGTGATGGGTGAGGCTGGAAACTACATCCTCAAACACATTATCCAGAACACGGGAAACAAAACCACTTTTCAAAAGTGACTCATCTTTAAAATATCATAGCAGAATGAAATACTTCATTCATTCATTTTCATAGCAAACTCCTAATTGAGAATGTCATAAACCACTTTGCAGAGAGAGGCAATCATGACCTGAGAAATTAAGTGGAGTAATTTACAAATAGGCTTTTGTCTGGCAGGAGGTTTAGCATGTGGGTTATCTAGGATTTGCCTGTGGGTTATCTTGGCAAAGCAAGCTCCCTTTTCTCTAACCCATTGGTGGTATATATATTTGGGTGCCCAATTAATATTAAAAATGAAAAACGGTTTCTCATATGTTTTCTCCTGGGTCCTCATTACAAAATCTTTTTAGCCCTTGTCCTCTCCAAAACAAACACCCCTTTCATGCTTCAGTTCTCATTCATATACCTGCTGTCTGTCCATCTTCCTTCCCACACAGACCTGCAAGCATGGAGGGAATTCAGGTGCGTGAGCCCTTCTAGCCTTGTTCAAGACACTAATCTTGACCCACATCCAGACTCGGTTCCTCCCTTTAATTTTATGGTGATTATAGTCTTCACAATTTGGTACTATAAAACAAAAAATATTTTCCCGTTTTAAAATACCTAAGTCATTCTCCCCAGTTTGGGGATGAAACACACACACACACACACACACACACACACACACACACGCATGCACGCATGCACACACACACACACACACACACACACACACACACACACACACACACACACACTCATAATCCACGCTATCAGAAGAAAGGTGACTTGTAGCACACAAAGTCAAATGAAACCCTTGATTCTTCTCTTTGCTAGCTCAGAAGCTGGGTGATAAGAACAAGTGTTTCACAGGGTTCTTGAAGGTGGTAAATCAGGCATCTCATAAGACGGTTCCCAGAGAAGAGGCTACTGGAGAACCCCTTGTCACTAACATTTGTCAGCATCTATGACAGGAATTTTACTATCTGACATCCTTCCCTAACTCTCAGCCTGTGACTGTGTATAGAAAGAATCTCAATTCATACAAGGAGGGTGGAAAAGACTGAGCCAGACACTGTTAACAAAACAGTCCCCTGAAGGGCTATGATATTGCTCAGTGGTGATACTGTCCCTATACATTTTATCTTGTACACGAAATCTGGGCTAATTATCATTTTCTCCTACAGTACATTTTAGACTTTTGTGTTTCCATGTCCCTGCCTAGTTCATTAAGCAGGGTTTTACAGCTCCTCCAGTAACAGGATTGCTATTGACACTTTCATTAGACCCATAATTCAAATGCTTGTCTGCCTTCCAAATGGAAGCCTCTGAGTCCAGAACCACAATCTGGCCACCGACCGTATGTTGGCTTTTAGAACTGTCGTAAACTCATCATCACATTCAAGTTCTTGAAGGGTCAAAATCTGCTTCCTCAGTGAACTGTCTCCATCCAACAAATACTCAGTGTATTCTCCAAGAACAGCCAGCCAAGTTTTCACCAGTGTTCTCTGAAAGCTCTTCAGACAGTACTCATTAGAGTGTGACTGTAGCACAAATAATCATTGTCTGGATTTAAATATAAATGGCCTGCTCCATTCATTCACTTAATCATTTCACTACTCAAGACCAATATACCAAATATTATGATGTTTTAGCAATTTAAAATTGAATAAGTTGGTCTCTGCCTTGTAATATCCTATAGTGCAATCGGTGTGTATAGAAATAATGATGTAATCAGTGGAATGTGAAATATTCACCACTAGATTTCCAGAAATGGGAAAAGCTATGATATAGATGCCTGTGCTTTAACTAATGGCTGTTCTCAATTTCTATTTTCTTATACTGGTCAAATAGAAATGGTTCAACTGCCTGTGTAGAACTGTACAGATGTATATATGAAATACAGGGACTGTATTCTGGAAGATAACCTCAGGAGAAGATAATGACATCCCTGTGGAATGGTACCAATGGACAAGGAGGCAGTACTACATCAGAGAATTGTTTTGGTGATCATGAAAAGTGGTCTTTGTACAATAGTGTTTGCTTTTTCTAACAAGGCTCGAGAAGGCCAATGCTAATATCTCATTTAATTGAAAAGACATTTTTTAGGCATGCCTGGTAGACATAAGGCATGCCTGTTTTTGGTTTCTGTAGAACATCTCAGGCCTCAGCAAAGAAGCAGTAAATATTAGCAGACCCTGCCACATGGATGTGCAGCTGGGGTTTTCACTCTGTAGAGAAGGATTTCCACTAATTACTTTAACATATATAGTGAACCATACTTTTCAATGTACAGTTAGTTGTGTTTGATTTAAGTGGCTGTGGACTGGATACATTGCTTTTACTTTCTAAGCCAATCACATCACATAGGAATTTTTTTTTGTTTGTTTTTTGTTTTTTGTTTTTTGAGACAGGGTTTCTCTGTGTAGTTTTGGTGCCTGTCCTGGATCTCTGCCTCCCGAGTGCTGGGATTAAAGATGTGCACCACCACTGCCTGGCTTGGAAAATATTTGATTTGAGGTAGTTCACCTTCCTGGTATCTACGATTTAAGAAAAGATAGAGAAGAAATAGAAAAGACAAAAATCATGGTCTCCTGTTATTGATTCTAGTCCTTTATGGCCCATCTCATTTGGTCTCTTTTAATGAAGCTAACCAGATTCCTGTACTAGAAAGTCCCTCTGCTGGAATGGGTTCTACCTCAAGCCACTGAGCATTAGGAGGGTGTGAGGTTGCATTCCATAGTTGATGGGGTCACATGACTCACGTGTGCCTTGGCAATTGTACTGTGCTGCAGGAAAAGAGATTGCCACATCCTTCCCAGTACATGTCATTCTATTGTGTTTGCCTTCATAAGCACGTCCAGTTGCCTGGCGGAGGTCACTGACAGTGTGGGGTTTAGAAGTCGTTGCTTGGAAATCACACTCACTAACACCTAAATCGTCTATCAGATGTGCTGTAGCTTATCCCAAGCTCATGTAGAAGAGGGGTTTGTAGCCTCTTTTATTTTCATTTCAAGTAGCATCACTCACTTTAAGCCTCTTCAAAAACCTCCAGGGTGAAGGACAAGAAAGAGGCTTATGGAATCTTCCATAACTGTGGCCCACTGTTGTTTCTGCATCCAAATCAGCACCTCTGTCTTTGGTATTTCATTTTAAAATCACACTTTCTTCCTCCCATGCAACCAGTAATGGGGATTCTGCCACCTATTTTCCAATCCAGATGGCTCTTTTGTGCATCTATACATTTAATTGAGCTCTGTCCAGGAGGAAAGCCAGGCAGGAATGTAAGGAGGGGAGGACATGATGTTTGCTTGATGCAGTCTGCCCTGTTGTCTTCTCTCATCTTCTGTGACCTCAGGTTGGATGACCGCATTCTGTTCTTCCCCCCTTTTCACTCACAAGGATCTTCCAGTCTGGGCTTTTTCTGGGAGCAGAAATCCAATTATAAATATGAAACAGACTTCATTGCTGGACCCAAACTTCACATCTGCCAAGAAACCAAGCTTCTGCCCAAGAGTATCTGCAATGCAAGCAGCAGGATCAAGGGCATAAGAGGTAAGTTTGAATGAGAAGAATCTTTCCTTGTGGCACGTACATAGAAGCACTCTATCTCACATAGAGGTTACAACATGGGAGGTTTTTAAATCAGGAACAAAAACTTGATCTATACTTTTTTATGGGTTAGTCTGTCTAGCTAACTATTAACTATAGAGTTATTACACTGAATTCTGTTTTAAAACATGATTTTGGGAAGGGCTGGCTTGCACAGTAAAGGAAACATCTACCACAAAAACAACACACACACACACACACACACACACAGAGAGAGAGAGAGAGAGAGAGAGAGAGAGAGAGAGAGAGAGAGAGAGAGAGAGCAGACAGACAAGGATTTGACAGTTTTTGTTTGTTTGTTTGTTTCTCAAGTTGCCTTTTCAAAACAAGTTCCAGAATGTCATGGGACCAAGAGAAAGTGAGAAGTAAAGATTTAATACATTTTATCATGATATTTGAGTTGGCAGGCAGGCAGGCAGGGAGGGAGTGAGAGAGAGAAAGGGAGGAGAGAAAGGTAGATGAGGTAAGCTTCCAGAGTCTTAGGAAGAAAGGATGGATAGATATCATCTCAGTTTTACAAATATGAGAAAAAGATCACACACACACACACACACAAGAGGGGGGAGAGAGAAAGACAGACACAGAGAGACACACACACACACACACACACACACACACACACACACACACACACACAGAGAGAGAGAGAGAGAAAGACAGATAAGTTTATGTTCTCTTGACTCATTAAATAATTCTGTGGTTTTAGCTATTTTATCCTGCCAGGGAGGGTCTCTGAGTTTCCAGATTCATTTCTACTCCTTGGGCTTTTTTAAAAACAAAGCCTGAAGACTAGGGAATGGATAGAAAGAACAAAAGCTACGATGAGCTACTCTCAGGAGGCAATGATCTCACAATATAACAATAAAGGTTTTCAGACTCCCTGAGAGAAAGGGCAGAAGCAGTGGGCTGAAGGGGAGCTGGGACCAGAGTGTGAATGTGGAGAGAGTCTAGTCAGATGGGAAATGGTAAGGACTTCAGGAGCTATGGGGTGATTTTGAAAGAGATGGTGGAAAGTAAGCAGTGAGTGTGAGTGCTGAGATAGAGTGGTGTTATTAGAAAATGGGAGGGGGAGACAGGAGGTGTTAATGGTAATTGGCATGAACTGTCTTCTTGGCTTTTCTGTATTTCCTCAGTGAATAAGCGACAGACAGGCCTTCCCAGTTATAAATGAGATGTCGCTCCTGGTCTGAACGCATGGGTGTACCCAGTGCGGTTTCACCCACAGCAAGCATCCCACTGAGTACACTGGCAAAGACATGCTTTCCAACAGGCTCCTAAGTATCTTAGGTGTGAGCTTCCCTTTTCCTTTGTGTTTGTTTTCTGTTGTTGTTGTTGTTTGGGTTTGTTTTTGTTTGTCTCTTCTCTTCACATGGCCTAGCTTGTAAAGTTCAGACCTATGAGTTAGATGTCCTGAGTGTTAGAACTGGAGGAACCACTAGCTACTTTAGGATCTCAAATAATTTATGTAAGGTAAAAATCCGCCCTATTTCCAAGCACAGAATAATGAAGTCATACATTTTGCATAGATTGGTTAACATTTATGCATTGATTGTATGTTGTGGTAGTTTGAAAGAAAATAGCCCCCAAAGGGAGTGGCACTAGTAGGAAGTATGGCTTTGTTGGAGTAGGTGTGGTCTTGCTGGAGGAAGTGTGTCATTGTGGGGGTGGGCTTTGAGGTCTCCTATGCTCAAGCTACACTCAGTGACACAGTTCATTTCCTGTTGCCTTTGGGTCGAGATGTGGAACTCTCAGCTCCTTCTCTAGCACCATGTCTGCCTGCATTCTGCCATGTCTGTTTGTGATGGTAATGGACTCTGAAACTGGAAGTAAGCCCCCTCAAACAAAGCTTTCCTTTGTGAGTGCTGCTGTGGTCATCATGTCTCTTCACTGCAATAAAAACCCTAACTAAGACATACGTCTATAACATTAAAACTTCAGAAGAATCTTCCCTGAGGGGTTTTGATTAGATAAGATATAGAAAATTTCATAATGGTGAATGATCACTGATATGTTTATTGTTATTATTTTGGTGTTTGTGGCATTGTTGATTCTGGCAATCATTTTTTTTTTTAATTTTTGAAATGAATAGATTAAAAAGTCCCTCCATGCTCCCTTCTATTCCTACAAAATAATTTCTGGGCAGGGCAGTGGTGGTGCACACCTTTAAACCTGACACTCAGGAGGCAGAGCCAGACAGATCTCTATGAGTTCGAGGCCAGCCTGGTCTACAGAGAGAGATCCAGGACAGGCACCAAAACTAAACAGAGAAACCCTGTCTCAAAAAACCAAAATAAATAAATAAATAAATAAATAATTTCTGTAACTCCTAGGTTTAAGAAAACCTCCCACAAGAAGCAGACACTACTCCATGAAAAAACTAGGTATCAATTCATGTGTCTTACAAATGCTTAGGTTATTTGAAAAAGCTACTCACTGGCTCCAAGAACATGAGCATGGAGGATCTGGCCCCACCCTTCATCTGCCATATGGTGGTATGGGTGGGGGGAGGGATGTGCTTCCCCCTGCCCCTTGCAGCCTGTGGCAGGTGGGAGGAGAGCTGTCCCTGCCCCTCACTAGCTGCAGCACTCAGGAGAGTCACCTTTGCTCCTAACCTGGGCAATGTAGTAGAGCTGGCTCTTCTGGTATAGGCTTTGGTGAGAGCAGGAGAACAGGCCCTGCACCCTTGCTCCTTGCTGCAAGGGATGAACTAGCCGGGGCAATGCAGGAGAGCTCACCCTGCTAGTGAGGACTGGGGAAGAGCTGGCAAGCCAACCAACCCTGCAACTACCCAGGCCTAGAACCAGGGTTATGAGTTGGCCCAGCCTAACATCCACCCCACCTATGATCTGCTGGAGCACTTGAAGGGGCCGGTCTTGCAGACCCAAAGCTGCAGGATCTCCATGACACAGGGCAGCAACAGGGTATCCCAGAGTAGGTTCATTGGGGCACAATATCAATAGTGTAGCAGAAACCAGAGACCTTGAACCAGACCAATGACTCTTTGCAATGAACACTTGCAAGTAAAAAGATAAAAGGATTTACTACATGACTCACTGTGTCACACTAAAGCTTCCATGACAAGATTTTTCTTTTCTTTTCTTTTTCCTTTTTTTTCTCTTAAATTTTATTTTATTGATGGGGGGTGGTTTGCAAGGGCAGAGGGCAAATATGAAGGGACAGGGAGATGAATGAGATCAAGATGCGTGTTGTGAAAAACACAAGGAATAAATTTTAAAAATTCTAAATAAAATAAAAGAAAGAAAAGAAAAAGCTGCTCTCTGGAAAGGGCTCAGAACTCACTTATCACTTCACCACTTTGGTCTTGCTGAGGACAGCTTGGGCACTAAATAAAGGAGTGGGAGCTTTTCTCTTTCCACCTGTCCACTAAATTTCACTTGAGCCATTCAGGGCGTACCTGTGGATCTGGAGACTCTGGTACATAGTTCTACCCTTTTGTGAAAATATAGCATATTTGTCTTCTTGATCTCCGCCTTCCCATCTTCATCCTGTGTTTGAAGATGTGGAAACACAAGTTCTGCCACTGGAAGCAGACCTCCTTTGAGAACTTCAGAACTGTCCTCATTCCTTGATTTGCTTGGGAGCATCTTAGCCATGGGAATGCAGTACTGATGGAATTGTTGATTGGTCCAATGACATATCAGAGTCTTTAAAGACATGAAATTAAGAAAGAAAGAAAGAAAGAAAGAAAGAAAGAAAGAAAGAAAGAAAGAAAGAAATCAACATTGTTCTGAAAGAAAGGTAGTTAAAATTCAGAAAGAGAGATTCTTTAATTAACTTAATAAAATTACTAATGGAAGCATTTTAACTGCTAAATTTAATTTACTTGTCAAGATATCAGGCTACAAAGAGGAGGGAAGAGTCGGAAGTCTGCTTCCCATTATGATGTACTCTACTATAGAATAAATTTGCTTAAAATGAAATATATCACCAAAAGCCATCAATGACATCTTAATTTGGAACAGCCAGTTGAAAAGTAATTAGACTACGAAGCAATCAGTTCTAGTAAATCAGGGTTTCCCCTTACATAAACATACATTTTTTTCCTATTTATACCCAGGAAAGACTAGACTCACAGGTAGTAGGCAGGCAGGGATGCTGGCTCTTTTGATCCGTGTTTCTACTTACATTACCAGGCTGTCAAAACAAAATGTTTTATGATGGGATTAAAAAATGTATAAGCATCCGATTTGATTTAGTGTTTATATTTTTATGTTGAACTAAGGAAACTTTGCTTATGATTGGATTTTAAAGATTTACATTTGTCTCTCTTCCTTCCAAAATGCTTTCCAGATCCACTGGCAACCCCAACACCTTACTTCAACAAGTGAAATTCAGTCGAATATCAAAAAGCCCCACTTAGTTCTCCCTTCAGGGTCCCTCCTACTCTTCTAAACAAAAGTGGTGAATGTAGCTGCTAATGAGACAGGGTCTGGAGGAGGTGGGAGTGTCTAAATGATTCTTTTGTTTAATATCTGAAGATTCGCCATGAGCTGTTTCTCACATAGTAATAGATCCAGACGTATAATTGTCAGTTTATTAGCATGAAAAACACTCTGATAAGAGAGGTGGGTGAAACAGAATAATTTATATATGATTTGGTTGTGAAAAGTTAGCAATGAGAAAACAAACGATATCAAAGGACTTCATATAAGGGAACATTTTGAGTGTGTCTTCACTAATCACCTTGAACCTCAGGAAGGTGTTTTCTTCTCCACATTACAGACATGCAAATGGAGGCCCTGGGAGGTTAAGGGTTTTGTGGAAACAGCAAAGGTATTTAATGGGAGAGCTGGGCTAGAAAGAGCACTTGCAGGCTCCTGGTATTTTCTTCACAACATCTGGTTGTGATGATGGGATCCCATCTGTTATCTGTTGAGGGGAAGAGGTGTGAGAAAAATAACTAGAGGATAGATCAATCACCC